ATGGGAGAAGGAAAGTATAAGAATTAAGTCTTTTGACAGTTTAATTAATTAATTAAGTTTTGTATTAATTAATTAGTGTTTGAATGTTGTGAAAAGAAGTGTCTCTAGAAAGGTAACTTCCCTTTTCTGTAAAAGGATGTGTCATTTCGGGAAAGGTAACTATCTTTTCCTGTGAAAGGATGTGCCTCTTCGGAAGGTAATTACCAGTTTTCACAACTATAAATAGATGACTATCATTACACTTTTCATACGAGAGAATTCTTATTCTTACCATTTTCCTTCTCTATTTCATAAACACAGAAGTCTGCAAGATTGCTGCTCCCAGACTTTGAATTGAAGGGACTCCTTGGGTGGTTTGCTCGAGCCTACCAGCAATTTGTACTAGGGGCAAATAACACACTCTAAGTAGAGTGATCCAATCACGCCTTCAATCCAATTCTTTATTACCAGTTTCTGACATAAACATAAAGTAGGTCATGTATTATTAGACCCCTCTTTGATCACATAAATCTTCCTTCGGCGAAGTGGGAGTGCATTTTAACATTCTATCAAAGCAAATGTTGATGCAAGGGCACAAAAGTGAAATGCTCCAAGTTCAAGATGACGGGAGTGCCGATTAGTAGTGTATGAGCACGTTTAGAGCATCTCCAATAGTGCAAATGGAGGGAGTTGCAAGCTTCTGTGGCAACCATGTGCAATTGAAAAAGTGAATGACATTATGTAAAACCACTTTCAAATAGCGAAAATTTGCACACTATGAAAATCAGACATCCAATTGCAAGTGGGCCCTTTAGTAAGTTTTTCTTTTTTTCTTCTTTTTCCAACCATTTGTGTGATATTAAAATGTAAGGACCCAGAATTGCAATTAAATGTGAATGACATTGATGTAAATGGTATGACAGTGATGAGTAAAGTTATTGCTAAAATGGCTTAAGTGGCAATAGAGACCATACTTGAAATTGCAGAAGGATTGCATTGTTGGACTCGGAGATGCTCTTATGATGAATACAAAATACATGTACTCAACTGCTGCTACACTTTTTATTTCTGATTCTGGGTCCTACCTGGATAAGAAATTGAGCTGGAGTTAGGGGTAAGCATTGGGTGGGTCGGGCGGATTTTGACCATAAAACGCACTCACCCGCGCTTAAACGGATTGATAATTTTTAACCTACCACCCACCCACATTTCGTCTCGGGTTGGGTCGGGCGGATGGTGGATGATGCGGGTGGGTTTGCGAATTCACCCACATCACAACGTACATAATACAAAGGAGTCAAATTGACATGATAATCGGTGGAGAGAGTTATCGGGCGGAAACAAGATGGTGGAATAAGGGGAAAATGTCTAATAATTTTGAAATTTGATAGAAATTCTATTATGGAGAAGTTTTCTACAGATGGAGATGATTATCAACTGTAGGGAACTAAGAAAAATCAACGGAGGAAAGATAGGTGATCTAGGCACAAGAATGACAGGAAAAAAAATAAAGGGAAGAAGAGGGGATAGCAGTTTGGAAGATTGGCTTTGAGGTTCAATCTAGGAGAAACCCTAGTTTCTGTCTAACGTCTCCACTCTCCCCTCTCCATTGCCACGCCAACGAATTTGTTCATTTTGCTCTTGGGTTGATCGGGTCACCCGCGCACCCGCTCACAACCCACTCGTACTCGACGAATGGCTTCCAGCACAACCCGTTACCCACCCACAGACCCACCCATATAACAAAATTCGGGTCATATGCGGGTGTGTCAGCTCAAACCCGTGGGTGATCCGCCCACATGCCCAGCCCTAAATTTAATTCTTTTTACTTTTTGGGACAATTTTTTCCTCGTAAAATAACTCCTAAATTTGGTAAGTTTCGTCAGGGACGAAGCCAGCGTGGTAGAAGGGGGAGCCATGGCCCCCCTAAAATTCTGAATCTTAATTACGCAACATAAGAAAATATTACAAGATGTAGTCTAATGAGCAGACATTCTGTCTCATAACCTCCAAGTAAGGGGTTCGAAGGTTGGTAGAGACATTTTTGTAAGGTTGCTGATATTCCATCATAAATTCTCATTTTAAACCTTAGAGTTTCGATTGTATCTATTCTCATCCTCAAATTTTCCAAGTCCCTATAATTTGATGACAAACGGTACTTTACCTCATTTTCTCTTCTGAGTTGTTATTCGTCACCCTAAAATTTGAATTTTTTCGTCCTAAAACATATTACATTGACGTTTATACCCCTAACCCCTAAGTTTCCCACCAGCCCTTATTTCCAATTTCAATCCCCAACCGCCGGCGCCACGAAGAAGACCGCCATGTTGGTGCGGTGACGATGGAGCTCACCTTCCTCATGGGGAACGTGAGGTACACATTCCCAGCTCCAGCTCCTTGTCAGCGGAGAGCGGCGAGAATCGGCGGCCGATTTGGAGTGACTGGGAGTCCACGAGGAAGAAGCCAAGACATTTGAACATGATCTCTGCCGCATTATTGATCGGATCCCGAGTTGATATGCACCCACAGACATCAAAAGTACCAAAATCGAAACAAAAAGAAATGGGAGAACATGCTAATTAATGTTTAATTCGCTCTTTGAACATCTCAGGCCGGAATCGACAGCATGGAGATCATGTAGTATTGGAATCGGTATTGGTAACAGTAGCAAATGAAGATTTCATTTTTTTTTATTCATACCAAAAGGCAGCCAATTGATCCGAGGTCAAAAGCAAGGAGGACAAACCTGGTGACATTGATGGTCTCCAAGATTGGATGAAAGACCATGATCGGCGGCGAGGTTGTGAGAAGATGGCAAAACTGAAAGCCCGCCGCCGGCAACAACGAGATTATGTGGTTCATTTGAGAGTGAAATTACAAAAGACATTAAAGTAAATTTAACACAATTAGGATGGCGAATAATGATTTTTAGGGCGACGAATAGCAATCACCTTTCTCTTTTATCCTAAATTTTTTCATACCTTGATTTTCCAAGTCCTACATTTTCTCATTTGGATTCATTTTTTCCTCCTAATTTTCTCAAAGTTTTGCTATAATTGAAGTCCTTTTCACCTAATATTCCTAAGGCTACAATTTTTTTTATAGCAAATTCCATTATTTATGTGTCTTTTTCTCCTAATAATGTCAAAATTTTGCTAAAGATTGAAGTTCTTTTGCCAATTTTTTCTTTCACCATTAGTAATTTATGTTGTAAAAAAATAAATTTTAATTACATAGTATTTTGAATCGTCTCAATAATTTTAAAGAACTCATATATAGATAAAAACCTAATAATTATAAGTCTCTTTTATGTTTTATTTAGACACCTCTAAAGTTTTTAATTGGCGCTCCTTATCTAAATTCGTGGCTCCGTCGCTGAGTTTCATAAGCCAACTCCTTTGGTCAAGGTTCACAATTTCCATAATTTATATTTGGTTGTGGCCTACCTAGAAGATTAGAGGGTTAAAACTTAAAAGGCAAGGTTCTGACTAATTTTGTGAATACCAACAGTGACCCCATCGACCCTTCCCACTTAGGTCATATGCTAATGAACCAAATTGTATCGACTATTCAGGGGAAATTAATCAAAATGGTCACATAGGTTTGGACCAGTAACAAAACAATCACAAACGTTTAAAACGCAACAAAAAGATCATATATGTATCATGATATAACAAAATAGTCATTGATCTCTTTTTAGCCATGTTTTCATCCATAATAATCGATTCTTTTGATGACACCATGGAAAATTGATAACAAATTATCAACCACTAGGGATGGCAAAAATATCCGCAACCGTGGATATCCGCCCGAATCCGACATAATCGGGTAGGGTAAAATTCGAACTCGAAGGACTTTTAGTGGGTACGGGTAAGACCCGAACCGAATATTTCGGGTAATGGGTGGACATGATTTTCTCACTATCCAACCCGAACCCGCCCGATTATACACATGCATATGTATTTTGTCTAGAAATAATCAATATTTTTGTCTAACATATTTTATGTTTACCATATAAATATATTATATATTTTGGAATTGTGTTGTTTAATTAATTTGGTTCGTTCTAGTGAATAATTGTCGTACTTTTCGTCTTACGTAACGTGAGAATAAGTGTGAATATTAATATATTGGTTGAAGTTATAAAGAGAAACCATTACCCATGGATAACAGTGGATACCCGAAACCCGAACGGGTATGGGCATGGTTTGGATTTTTTACCCGTTTCTTATGTGGGTATGGGTATGGGTAAAATCCGAACTACTTTGGGTAGAGTAACGGATATGCACTATCCGTCCCCGACCCGACCCATTGCCATCCCTATCAACCACCTAACCAACCTGTGAAATTACCGCTTATTTAGAGCAATCAAATTGGTCATTATGGAAATATGGATGAAAATAAATGGAATAGCTGTTTTGTTATAACATTATACTTTCGTGAATTTTTTGTTACGTTTCAAACGTTGTGTCCATTTTGTTACAAGATCAAACACCTGTGTGACCATTTTGATCAATTACCCACTATTCAGGTCACAAAATCATCTATCGCCAATCGAACCTAATATAATACACTATTTTGAAAACGTTTGTAGTGACAAGTGCAATATGGTTAAATTGCTTGAATGCAAAACCTTTTTTTGGTTGATATTAGTCGATAACATATTATTATTAAAAATTGAATATTAATTTTTTTGGATAAAAATCGTGGTTTATCTATTTTAGAACATGATATTGATTAAATCATAATTATAACTCTCTAATTTGTCCAATTTTCTTCAATGTGGTTTCACTAACCATACAATAGCAAACTCTCCCATCCCTTCCTATTTCCCATCATTGACAAAAAAAAATCCCCAATTTCAGGACATGGTTAGAGCTCGTTAATTAGCTGAAGTTACTTGTGCAAGGGTTAGATTGAGAAAAAACAAAAGTCAGGGGATTAATTTGAACAAATGCCGAATTTCAAGTGCAAAACCTGCCATTAATTCTTTTTCGAAATTCCAGTTCATTCGCCCGCCTCAGCTTTATCTCCTCTCCCTCAATTCAGTCCTCCAAATCTATATCCCTAATATCTTCATCGTCTAATCTCGACTTCATCTTCCCCAGCTCTCTATCTCAGTTAAGGTATTGTGATTCTTTGGCTGTTTCATGGCTTCCACTGCAGGCCTGTAAGTTTCCAAAATTCGCAGCTGTGGGTTTTACCGGGAAAGTAGCGTAGAATTGGAGGAGATTCGGTCAAAATCGGCGACGTGCTAAAATATCACCGGCCAGCTCCGATCAATCCGGACAGATTATTTGCTACGCTTCTCTCTCCCCATATTCCTAGGGTTTCGTATCGTCTCTCTCTCTATCAAAATTCCAAATTGTCGCTTCCCTCCATCTCTCCCCTGACCTTCTCGCCGGTCGGTGCATTTTCCCGGAAAATTTCGTATTTTCCGAAAATAAACCCGACCCGCGACTGATTCCCCCGTCCGATTCCTCTGAATTACTCTTCCCCCGATTTTGATTTCTCTTCCTCTCGAAGATTGATTTGATTGATCAGAATATCTGTTTGCTTTGGGTTGACATTGCTTTGGCGATCGTCAAACTTTTCAGGTTTTTCTTTTGATTATCTTTGTCGATTGGGTTTTCTTTCCTGTGGTTCGCTTTCTCTGTTCTGGTGGCTTGCAAATTGGGAAACGAATAAGCGGTGCATAAGCTATAAGTTTTGATTTTGTTGCAGGGACCTTGGAGGAAGAGAGAAGGCGGGAATCGTCGGCCAATTGTTATTACATGGCGAGTCAAGGCGGCTCTTCGAGGAAAAGTTCAACGTTCTCTAGCGCCCCTGTCAACGGCCGGAGGAACTCCAGCGCTGACATGGGAGCAGCTGGTGACCGGTCGCGAAAATCATTCGTCATTTCTCGTCCTGTGTAAGTTCTTATGTCCGTCGAACAGTGTTCTCCTTCTTATTCAATTAATTTCCCATTGTTCTGTGCGCAATGGGATGTTAGCTTGATGAAAATCCATGACCGATTGGTTTGTGAGATTCTTTCGGATTCTATGTCCGTTGTTGTTTTTTTTGTTTTGAACAATATGTCCGTTGTTGTTGCTGTTATTGGGTCTTGATATTTTACCATCGAAGCTTGTTTAGTGATTTTATCTCCTTGCAATTTGTAATTTAAGAGATAAGTTGCTGGATCAGTACTGGGAAGAATATCGCTCTTGTCTGTACTGTACCAATCATGTTTAAAGAAATGTCTGAAACCAAATAACCATGTATTGGATTTTGTTGATGACCTTGTGCGTCATGTTGATACACCAGTGAATCTCTTATTTGTCAGATATTTGGATGCATTCGTGGAAAGATGTTTGCTTCAAATGAACTCCTTTGTTCTCTGGCAGGGGTTTAACTGGAGAGCGGACTGTAAAGCGATTGCGGTTGTCAAAGGCTTTAACGGTACCTGAAAGTACAAGTATATATGATGCCTGCCGGCGAATGGCTGCTCGAAGAGTTGATGCCTTGTTGCTGACTGATTCAAATGCATTACTCTGTGGAATCCTTACGGACAAGGTTTCAAACATTATCATATTGTATCAGCTTGCCAAGAAGGGAGGTTTCTTCAATGAACATCATTACCTTGCTGCCTTTAACCTTTCTTCTGATGTATTTCATTTTAGGACATAGCAACAAGGGTCATTGCACGGGAGATCAATCTTGAGGAGACTCCAGTTTCTAAAGTAATGACCAGGAACCCGGTTTTTGTTCTCTCTGACACTCTGGCTGTGGAAGCTTTGCAGAAAATGGTACAAGGTTTGTGTTAATCAGGTAGCAAGTTCCAAATTGTGTCTTACCCACTCACTTTAGGATATTGATCCTGATAGTTTGTATATACAGGGAAATTCAGACATTTGCCTGTTGTAGACAACGGGGAGGTCGTCGCCTTACTTGATATAGCCAAGTGTTTGTATGATGCTATTGCTCGTATGGAAAGGGCTGCTGAAAAGGGGAAGGCAATTGCTGCAGCTGTTGAAGGTGTCGAAAAAAATTGGGGTCCTTCTGTTTCTGGTTTGTCCATTTCTCTCCCTGTGTAACTTTAGGCAAACATTTTCTTAAACTCAGTTGTGGGATATGACATTTCAAATGTTGCAGAAAGTGGTTTTTTGGTTGACATTTCTTTACTATTGTATTATGATTTGCGTGCAGGACAAAATTCTTTCATCGAGACACTTCGGGAACGGATGTTCAGACCTTCCTTATCGACAATAGTTCCAGAGAATTCAAAGTAGGTAATATTTTAGTTCCTTTAATTTGTATGCAGAGTGTACCCTAATTCCCAGTGTTCACAGGTTGATTATTGTGATTCTACCGTGATATCTTTCAGGGTTGTAACAGTTTCACCAACTGAAACAATTTTGGCAGTGACAAAGAAGATGCTTGAATCTCGGTCAAGCTGTGCTGTGGTTATAGTTGATGATAAACCACGGGGAATTCTTACGTGAGTCCTTTTACCCTTCATGTAAATGTAGACCTGGAGCCAAGGGGAAGTATGAAAAAATAGTTTGCTCCTCATAATGTAGGGTTATTCCAATTTCTTCGTTGCAAAAAGCCTGAATACCAGTTTTAATTTGTTTCTTTCAGTTCAAAAGACATCTTGATGCGGGTGATAGCACAAAACCATGCCCCAGATTCCATGCTTGTTGAAAAGGTATCCTTCTCTTCTTAGTGTGATTTGGTCGGAGTTTTACTGAAAAGACAGTTGTAGTAATATGCCTGGCATGTATCTGATTTCCCACATGCATATTAAAAGTGCTTCTGACTATTGGAACATGTTGAACATCACTTCTTTTTTCAATGAAAACGAGACAATTGCTTGAGGCGTTTTGATTTGGTTTCACCTGCAGGTCATGACGCCTAATCCCGAGTGTGCTACGACTGATACACCAATTGTTGATGCCTTACATACTATGCACGACGGAAAGTTTTTGCACCTTCCTGTTGTGGATAAGGGTAATGTGTTTGTCTACAAAGCAATAGATAGAAATTTGTTTGACCCATCCTTTTGTTACTTTATTGACCAAAGTGTGGATGGGTACAGATGGTGTTGTAGTTGCCGTTGTAGATGTGATTCACATAACTCATGCTGCCGTGGCCACAGTAAGTATAGCAATTCCTTTTATGCACTGTAACTAAAGTTGTCTACAATGAATCCACATTTCCAAGGAGATTGATCAAGTATGCTGTCCACTATAATCCTTGTCACTAGTATGTATTTTCATTCTTCCTTCTTTAAAACAGGTTGGAAATGCCGGAGCAGTAAATAATGAGGCCACGAGTACAATGATGCAGAAGTTTTGGGATTCTGCTATGGCATTAAGTCCTCATGATGATGATGATGAATCTCGAAGGTTTCATTCTTCTCTTCTGTTCTTTTGATCGAACTGTGATTTCTGGTTAGTTTGCTTTCTCATTTGATATTGTTTGGAATTCAGTGAGGGATCCTTGAAAATGAATTCCGAAGGAACAGAGTCAGGGAGAACCCTTCCCTATCCATCATCATTGGTACCAAATACATTTTCTTTCAAGATTGAAGATAAAAGAGGGAGGATGCACAGATTTACATGTGGTATGATATTCTTGTCAGCCATTGTTTGATTGCTCAGTATTTGGTTTACGAAAATCTGCATTTACATGATTCTAATCCTTGAATTTGACTTAACTATCATAGACTACGGGTTCTGTAGTTGGGTTTTATCTTGTCATCTGGCTGGTAATCTTATGCTTATGACATGGGTTGTTGACATGGTCATCTATATTTTTTTACCCAAATAGAGACTCGAAGTTTGACGGATCTAATAACAGCAATTCTTCAACGACTTGGGAACGATATTGACCGCAATAACTTGCCTCAAATTTTGGTACGTCTGTACTCGTTTATTTTCCTCCTCCTTAGCTTCCTAGATTTTCTTCTCTTGGAACACAACATGCTAAAGTGTGGTCATGTTCTAAAAGTATGAAGATGAAGACCATGACAAAGTTGTTATCGAGTGTGACAATGATCTATCAACTGCCGTAGAGCATGCAAGAGTGACCGGTTTAAAGGTAACCCATTGCTATACTAAGTAAATCTGAATTCCCGGCTGGATGTTGGATTCAAGCGCGTCTCTATGCATTTTGGTGTGCAGGGTTTGAAATTGCATCTAGACTATTCGGGAGTTAGGGGTCACAGAAGAGGGTCGGAGAGGCAACAGACTAGTTCAGGAAGTTTAGATTATGCACAAGGAGATGCGTGGGCATCGGCTTATAGCACAGTGGCAGCAGGTGCAGCATTGGTTGCTGGGTTAGGGTTTTTCGCATATTTGAAGAGATCCGGTAATTGATACACACGCTTGCCTGGTAAATGATTTTGTATTTAGTTGATAGCCAGCTTGGTGTATTCTGAATCATGAACTTGACTGAAGTTGAAGGGCAATACTACTTGGAGGGTTTTTGTAGCCATATATTGGCCCGTGAAAGAGCGGTTTGGTGCTTGTTTGCAATTTTTTTCTCTGCTGCGGTGTAAGCATTGATCGTTTGCTTTGTTGTATTGACGGGAAGTTGTGTACATAGAATAAAAACAATGAGCCTGGTGGTTTTTATGGCTTAGTGGTAGTGAGTTGTCCACTCATTGCGTGAACTGTGAAGACTGAAAAGGACAGTACCTGCGGAGGGAAAGAAGTTAAGTGTTTCTAGATCGAATCGTTCTTTATTGTTGTTCAACAAAACCAAGTATTTATTCTGTTAAACTCAATTCTAAAGCATTCTTCAGCTTGATTTCCAGAATCGTTCTTTTTTGTTCTAAAGCAAAACCAAGTATTTATTCTAAATTTTAAGGCATTCTTTAACTTGATTTCCAGTCAGCACTGATGATGTATTGTTTCCGTTAAAGTTTGGGACGGAATGGCTATATTAGTGTATTTTTCAAAAAGTGGCTATTATTGTCACAACGCGAATAGTTATGGCTATGAAAGTGTACTTTGCCTAATTAAAACTCAATTTTAAGTCATTCTTCAGATTGATTTCCAGAGGTTTCTTGTAGATCTTTTTCAAACAATCCACCAGCGGATCAAATCATCATCCCATCACCTTAAGAAACATTCCATAACATAAAGAGAAGAGAGTTTGCTTTTCCTTGACACTAAAATGTAATTCTGTTATACAAACAACAAAACCCAGCAGGATGCTGAGAACAAAGAGCAGCCAATTGCAGCTACAATAACTAATCCACTGTGCTTACCAGTATACAGAGGTTCTGTTACTAACCCTGATACTACCACACAATTACAACTATCGTTTCAGGCTAATCAAAATACAGCTTCTGCTGCCCCCACTGGAAAACTCTCGAGCTGGGCCTTCACTACTTGTTGTAGCTTCAACTCTAACTGAGACAGAGAGTCGCCTCCACCTTCTCGCCGTAACTCACTGACTAGAGCATACCTGACCAGCCTTCCCAATTTGCTGAGGCGAAGAATAACTGAAACTATACCACTCTCCAAGGGAACAGCCCAATACATTAGTCCCTGCATGATTAGGTTAAAAAATAGAAGTTAGATGAAGAATTCGGTCCATAAATAAAAGAGAGAAAGCAGCAATAATGCAAGTGGCTATCAAGCAATAGCCAAATTGCATATATTATAACAAATGAATTCAATGACAAGCAACAGAGTTATAATATGAAGCAGCAGGGCCTCAATCAAGAACACTCCAAACTCATCATGGTTCATTCAAATCCCTTATTTTGGTTATCCTTTCTGCCAAGCTGAGCAAGGTAGTGTGGTTTTTGTTCCTCCTGCTATTCTTCATAAGCTGCATCATCGAATGAAACATCAGTTTCTTTTGTCATGCATAAACTAGAAATAAGGATGGAAGGACCTTATCCAATGAATTCCACCAGTATCATTCATTTCTTACCACCTCAAAGTATAGAGCTTAGCAGTCAGCTTTTCCTAATCTAGGCTGCCTTGCACATAACTCGTGGAATTGCATCAGCAAGATGCAGAAACACCAATTGCGACTCCTGAAATTGCAGAGAAGAAATGGGTCACTCAAACGAAATCTCAAAATGTTGAAGTTGCCAGCAAACCTTCCACCCTGAAGTTAGGAAAAGAATCCCAATCTCTTCCGCTCCCTGCTTCTGCCTCAAATAGAAACCATTACCGCACAAAATATACACAGACATAATAGTTTAAATCATTAAGTGATATAAGATGCTTGACAAGCAGTCAAGCAGCTATCACTTAGCAGTTAGTAAAATGGAAATCAAACAAGACCTCACACCTACCACAAACCAGTCATGTCGAGCTCAACACTGGTGTCGAACTCGAGTAGGTTGCACAAGTTATCATCGAACTCGAACATTGGTAGACCAATTAACTCTGATGTTCCGCAGCTTGTAAGAAATCCAAGTTGAAGATCTCCCGAAAAGTCACCTTGCGGCTGAGAAACATCCAAATCGGAAGCTGAAGCTACAGGAATCAATGATGAAGATGAGGATGCCGTGGGATTGTTGATTGAACTTTGAAGGGAAGACATGGTCTCCTCCTCAGAGTTCATCATTGATGCAGCAAGAGTATCACAAGAGTCTCCACAACTCAATCCACCATTCGCTACTGCCTGCACCTCACATTGAATTTGTATCTGTTCTGCCGAGTGTCCAACAGAGGGTGAGCAAGGAAAGTCACTGGCTAACTCCATAACCATTTCCGACAATGATGATAATACACCAGCATCTTTCGTGGCAGTCAAGAAAGCTCCCTCTTCATCCATCCGGAGCCTTTTACTTCCCTTGTTTACAGTCTCACACAACACCCTTTCATCATCAACTCTCAACCTTTTCTTCTCCTTGTTTTCAATTTCACACAGCACAATATCAGAATCAATCCCAGCCAGTGAATACTCATGCATTATCCAATGGCCCACAAGAGCTCCCGAGCCACTCCCTTCTTCTTTCCCTTTCTTCAACTTGAAAACGAACTGTCTCCTAGCCCCAGTCACATTATTCTTCCCATCAACAATGGGCGCACCAGAAGTGTTGCCATGCCATTCTCCAATCGAGGCTGTCCGCGAAACCCTCTTCTTACTTAGCCTCTTCAGCCGGGTGAAGACAAAAAACCTGTCTCTTCCTGTTCCGGCGTCCCGGGGGAATATCTCCCACGGAGCCTTGTCGCCGTAGAGATCACAATCGGGAATCACATTGTAGGGGAAACTCTCTCCTCTAGCTTTCTTCTTCAGGTAATACTCGACGAGCTCTTCATCGCTAGGGCTAAAGTGATAGCCCACCGGCAGAGACAACAAGGGGGTGGTGGCGGAAGCTGATTCCGCCACCATATTCGATGGATCGCAGTAAAGGAGAAAACACAGGCAACGTCGGAGAGAGCGAGAACTGACGAAGTTAGGGTTTCAGAAAAACCTAATTTCTCGAACAACAAGTAAAAATAATGAGATTCACGAATTGCGCGTGGGAACTAGAGCCCGGGGAGATGAGGCAACGAGGGAAAGAAGAAAGCGCTTACGAAGTAAAGGTCGGGAAGTGTGATTCCGCTACTCCCAGCGACGAATGCGAATTCCCCTTAAACGGAGAAGTGGATCGGAGACGGAGAGGACGATCGAGAAACCAATAGAGCCGTTGGGGAAACTTGCCGCCTTTCTCACTTTCGACTTAGCAGAGCTGTTGAGGAAAGCATATGAATGGAAGACACTGTTCGGCTGTTTCCTTGGCATATAAATAGACCGCGAAATCTGATGGCTGAGTGAAGCGCGCTCTGCAAGTCAGCAGGAAGGTTCCTTTAGGCCCAATAACAGAAAAGTTGCGAACGAAGCCCAATTTGTTGCCCAAAAGAGAGGTCATACAAATATGGTTCAGGCCTTGAGGCTTCCGGCCCGGAAGTTCCGGACAAGAAAAAATCACAAATATCTGTTAGAAAATATTACAATGCCGCCACATATTTTATACAAATATATTTTCTATTTGGTTTGGCAAACTAATTAAAAATTATTCAAATTAAGAGTCTAAAGACATCTCGTGTTGATTAGACTTAAAAGGGTGAACCCTAGTTAGGTTTTTAGGGGAACCCCAACTAAACTTAGTACATGAAGAATCTTAGAGACTGTGAACCCCAACACACCATGATCGAAACCATAATGAATTAGTGAAACGAGCTTTGGAGGTTTGCTTGATGAATGTCATAAATCCTCTCAGATCGTGCACAAGAGTATTGTGTGGATACAAATCATCACTCTAGATTCGCATAAAGTTTTTTTTTATGATCAAATGACATGAAAAAGATATTTTCCTACGACTTGTGATGATCCGAAAAAATGAATTTTCAGAGAGTATATGTACTAAAATTAATTCATAATGTTTGAGCCCAAACAAGAAAGGTCATTTGGGTCTAAAGGGTTTGGGGCGTCAGCCAGATGACCTCAAGGGAGTAAGCACCCCGCCCCTTGAAGAGCTGGATAATAGAAGAGAAAAGAGTAGGTTAGAGGGAGAAAGTAGAGAGAGGTTGTAGTAAATGTAGATAGATTGTTATTTATGAGGAGAGAACACCTATTTATACAAGTTCATATGTTAGGTATGTGGTTCGGGCGTTCGGCCCCCCAAAACTCTATGCTACTATACATTGTACTTTTGATCGAATGTGTCTGGTGGCTTAGAGAGTGTCCCTTATGACCTCTTCCTTGCTGATGTCAGGTGTGACAACTTGTCTCTTGATCTTGTCATCTTCTTAGGCTCGTCTCCGTCTCCCACTAATGATGTCAGCCTATAGAGTTTTGCCCCCAAGCCTCGACTTCTATTGGACTCTTTTTGTAGGTCTTCTCGGAGTATTAAATCTTGACTGCATAGCCTATCACATAAATTGTTAACTTACATAAATACTACACTAAATATATTGAGAAAGGGAACATCAATCAGAATGATTTATGGATCCAGAATAACTAGAATAAACGATTTCTCCAAGAGCTCGAATAGGAAAGATATTTAAGTGCGTAATAAAACTTTTGTGGTTTCCTGTTTCACAAGTCCAAAACGATCTTTACCATCTAGCTAGTTAGGAAAATTGTATTAATCCCCCTCACTATCTAGCTACAATCTTATTTCAGTACTGTCTCTTTTTGGAAACTTGAGAAGGATAGTGCAACATATGGTCGATCTCTCCTTGTAGAGGGGAGAAACACATAATTGAATGGTAGATGAGCAAAAAAAATTCTTGTAGTAGAATGGGAAGCAAGGTTGTAAGGCGAAGCGAATCCAGAAAGATTGTCTCATCAGTTTGAATTGTTCTATGCAATTCGAGAAAATGATGTTAGAATCGCTAGTAATCGCGGATCAACATGTCGCGGTGAATATGTAACAGTTTCCTTTTTCTTTCTCTCTTTAAACTGAAAACCTCTCACCTCTCTCTAGCTTTTCTTCCTCTATGATATTTTAAGTGGTTGTCGTCGGCTCCTTCTGGTGACCGGCAACGACCCATCCTCTTTAATTTTTTCTGTCTTTACTTCTGCTTTCAAGTACTTTGTTGTCCTCTCCATCCCTTAAGTGGGACTTCCTTTTCCGCGCCACTCTAGTAGATGGCTGCCTCTGCTTCTTCCTCGAGTCAGATCTTCAGATCTGTTCTTTTGAGATGATTTTGCTGTAAATAGAGGAGGTTGAAGTCCCTTAACCTGCCTTCTCCTTCATGTTTCTGCTCCTCCTCCTTCCTTCACCTCTTTGGTAGGTGTTTCGAAGAAGATCTGGGATCTTATTGTGATCGTTCCGTGGTTCCAGTCTCGTGAAGCTCGAAGGCGAGGATTACTCTATTTGGGCTTCTAATCACCTTTCTTCCTGATGTTCGTGCTTTCATTGTGAAGGAGGTGTATCATACACCGGGTGGCTTAGGGTTTCAATGGTACATACATGCGTTTCTTGGTCGGATATCTTGCGGCTCTTCCCGTCGGCGGTGGATGATGGAACTCTCCTGGGGCGGCGACTGCTCTCCATCTGTTGGAAATGGATTAGGTTTAGGGTTTTACATTTCACTCGAACCATTTCCTACTTTCTTACTGCTTTTGATTAAAATCACAATCACTCGACTTAGTTTGCTAGATAATAGATAATCACGGAGTAGGCAGTAGATCTGGACCCCGGGTTAACAAATAGAGCTTGCCACTTTACTGCATTTCCGGACTGCGATTACACTTGGTCGCAGTTTGGTGTTGTGTTTTAGCGTGTCAAGTTTTTGGCGCCATTGCCGGGGAACCTCTAGGTTATTTTGGAAACATGAAAGTTTGTTACTCTACCTTTTTCTTTACTGCATTCTCTCTCTTCCACCTTTGTGCCTTCACGGGTTGCGTTTGCATCCGTTGTGCAGGTAGTGCATGACCCGTAACCAGTCGGGAGACTTACTGCCATTAGACCAAGAGCTTGAACGAACTTGTAGGAACTTCAAGCGGGCTTTAAAGGCATGACTGGCTGCGGAGGAGGCTCTATCACAGCTGCAGATCAATCAGGAGGAAGACATGGGTGACCCTCAAAATAACGATGTGGTTGTCCCGGATGAGCACACCATGGGATATTACTGGAACGCCAGAGCCGCGGATATGAGGTTGCCCATTAAGCACCCTCAAGTTACGACCAATAACTTTGATGTAAGCACCTCTGTCATCACCATGCTGCGCGGCTCGGTGGTATTCCGTGGCAAGGAGGGGGAGTGCCCCCGATCACAGCTGAGGCACGAGCTCATTGATGGGATCAAGATAAATGGGGTCCCAGCCGATGCCATCCAGCTGAGGTATTTCCCATTTACTCTGGAGGGGCATGCCAAGGAGTGGCTGGACATTAGGCCTCTCGGATCGATCACCACGTTCGCCAACCTGGCGGATAAGTTTCTCACCCGCTATCATCCTCCGTCGAAAACGGCGGACCTGCAGAAGCAAATCACCCACTTTGCCCAGGATGAAGATGAGACCATTCGGGATGATTGGGAACGATACACCAGTCTTTTCCTCAAGTGTCCCAACCATGGTTTTACTGAAGCTTTCAAGGTGGGCACCTTCTACCATGCCCTCTTACCGAAAGACAAGCAACTGATCGACTCGGTTTGCGTCGGGAATATGCTGACAAAGACCCCGCCGCAGCTGAATTGACTCTTTGAAGAGATGGCAGAGCAGGGATATGATTGGGGAACTTCTAGGAGATCGAGACGAGCACCAGGTCGGGGTGTGCATGCTGTGGCCACCCTGTCGTCTGAGTTGGTGCAGGTGGTGTCTAAACTGGTTTCGGCCATTGATTGTTCTGGAATGATCTCAGGTACAGGACAACAGCAGGCGATGCACTACCAGTGGTGTGAAAGCTCTCATCACACTGTGGAGGACTATCAGGCAATGAGGGAGTCGACTACTCCCCAGGAGCAGGTGGACTTCATCGGCAATGCTAGGCGTTTCGACCTCTACAACAACACTTACAAGGAGGGGTGGCGCCAGCATCCCAACTTCTCCTGGGGTGGGACCAATCCTAGACCACCAGTCTACCAGGGACCGCCCGGCTTCCAGAGGCCTCCTTACGAGCCCAGACTAGGGCAATTCCAGCAGCAACAACCTATTTACCCGCCCAGACAGGGGCCAGTTTCTCCTCAGTCACAGGTGCGACCATTTCAACAGTCAGATGCAGCCCCCGCAGCCCCAGTCCAAAGTTATCCGATGGCCGATTTGCGAGATCTGGTGGGTTCTTTGGCCACCTTCAGTGCGAATAAGTTCAGTAATATCGAGCAGTTCATGAAGAAAGCCTCTGTTAAATTCATGGAGCTTGAGGCTGGCGAGAGAAACATGCAGGCTGTATTGCGGGATATCCAGACCCAGTTGGGGAGTGTGGCACAGGCTGTAGCACAGAGGACTCCTGGTACTTTACCTGGTTAGACCTTTACTACCAGGAGCGGCAAAGTGACTGCTGACCCACCTGTCCAGGCACGACAGGAGAGAGAGAGACACCTGTTTAGCACTTCCAGCTAATGAAGAGGAAAGGGAGAAGGAGGTTGAGGTGCTTGCTCCTACGCCACAACCAGTGGTGAAGGAGTATGTACCGCAACTTCTCTTTCCTACTCGTTTGCACAAAGACTGACTGGATACTGAGTTGACCAAGTTCATGGAAATGTTGAAGCAGGTAAACATCACTATACCCTTCGTCGAGGCATTATCGAAGATGCCCAAGTATGCTAAGTTCATGAAGGATCTCCTCACCAACAAGAGGAAACTTGGGGAGCTGTCGACGGTGATGCTCAACGAGGAGTGTTCTGCCATCCTGCAGAACAAGCTACCAGAGAAGTGCAAAGACCCAGGGAGATTTACTATCCCTTGCATGATTGGTAGCTTGCATGTAGGAAAGTCCTTGACGGATTTAGGCGCTAGCATAAATGTCATGCCATATAAACGGTTTAAAAAGCTAGGCCTAGGTGAACCCAGTAATACTAGGATGAGCATTAAACTTGCTGATAGATCCATTGTGCATCCTAGGGGCATTGTAGAGGACTTGATAGTCGCAGTAGGGCCATTCTCATATCCTGTTGATTTTGTGATTCTTGATATAAATGAGGATGTGGATGTGCCTTTAATACTAGGTAGACCATTTCTCGCCACCGCCAAGGCACTTATTGATGTGAATGATGGAAAGTTGAT